ACACCCCTGCACGCCCAAGACTAGACATCTGGAGGGTCGACAATATAACATGGGCGCCCAACCAAGGGTGGAGCCAGTAAGGTTACACTACACTGTTTATACATGGTCAAAATTATTAAGTATACATAGTAAATGTTGAACTCCTTTGACTCCTTCGTATGTTTACTTTTTCATATAATTTTGAACTCCTTAGTAAAAATCTTGGCTCTATCATTGCTCCCTGTGTTGGGGTCCAATATCCGATAAACTACGAAATTGGGATGAAACCGGAGAAAAACATAAAACCATTTTGTTTCCATAAGGATACGAGAAACAGTTGGGGCAATGAAGTAAGTGAAGTGGTTGGATTTTGCGTGTTATTCCAACCACTACCATATGGATGTGATTCTAAGAGCCGAAAAATGAATACCACACACACACAGAAAAGTCAAAACTATCTATGTCCTACTGACATCAACTCAAGGAAGATTCAAGAAGCTAAAAGCCACTTGAGCAGGCTAACCATAGACGATGGAAATGACAAGGCATAAATAAATTTTAACTCAATCCAACAGCTAGTTCATGAGGTGAGTATTGTCTTTAATCATAAAAAAAATACTCAATTAAAAACAATATGAAAAAGTTGTATATACCTTTAGTATGACTAAAAACATCCCAATTACTCAACCCTTTTCCATCTTCAAGAAATGCCCCTTCAATCTGAAAAAAGAAAAGAAAAAGGGGGAATCAAATAATATCCAAAAACGGAAAATTTTAGTGATAAATAAAATAGAAGAAAATACTTGATAAGCTGAAGTAGTAGTTCCAAATAAAAACCCATCTGGAAATTCTGATTTCTTCAAATTTTTCTGTTCCTCAAATGAATCTACAAATACAAATAGCAGTAAACACAGAAAAAATAAGCAACTGAAATAATTAGTACTGCTACTCTTCATTTGGGTTTAATAAATTAAACCAAAATAATTAGCAATCTAATTAACTCTATTTGTTGAGAACTAAATCCACTAAATATCAACTATTTATGCGAATTGCTCTAAAAGGAAATATCAATAATTTGAAGGTAGATGGAATTAGTGATTTTTTGGTACCAAAAATAGCCTTTATATACTTGCAATAGGAGACAAGGAGAATATTAAATGAAAAAACGTAAGATCTACTGGGACCATATAATCCAATTCTTAATTAAATTTTTATTCATATTTTTTAAAGTCGTGCAAATTTAGCTTTTAAAAAATTATCCTACCGACAAACGTTACATTATTCTAACACTTCTAATAACCGCAAAATAAATCGTATAATTGTTATATATTGTTTTATAATATATCGGATTGTAATATATTGTTTCAATGGACACAATGTTTAGAAATATTGTATCGTTCTCCGTCGTTACATAATCTCACACATACATATATTTTATTAAACTAACAATACAATACAAACAACTCCAATTAAATTATGATCTAAAAAGTTGATGTTAGAAAAAAAATATATATAAATAAAAAAGGTCATCAAGGAATAGGTATTGATGAGTATAAAATCAGATACCAACATGGGTTGTGGTGCATTGGTGGGAATGTTTCACCCTTAACCAGAGGTCTCAGGTTTGGGTCCTGGGTATGGAGAAAATCATGTTGGGAGCGTCATCCATGAATGGTCCCTGCAGAGCGCGATTTAGATTTAGTCAGAACTCCAATGTGGACTCCGAACACCGGGTGAAAAAAAATAAATATAAAATCAGGGGTAGGTGAGTGAGCCATATCATTTTATAATATGATAAATCAAATAAACAGCTGGTCCAATAAATGACATTAAATTACAGTACTTTTAGGTAGAATATTTGTATTTTGATTGTTGAATTGAGTGTTTATATCTTTAACAAAACAATTTGTGTTAATTAAACTCAAAAACTCTTATTCAACTCAAAATATTTGTAGTAACTTTAAATAATGATGATGTATCAGTAGACATACAATGATATACACAAGACATACAAAAATATAATTGTATATTTTCTATATGTCACTTGTTTGTTTTACTAGATTGTACATATTTTGTTAAAAAACATTGGTTATTTTTTTTTTTTAGAAAATCACTAAATCGAGTAATTTCGCCCCTAATTTTATACTCCCTCCGTTTCACAAAGAATGACCTGGTTTGACTTGGCACGGAGTTTAAGTAAATAAAGAAGACTTTTGAATCTTGTGGTCCTAAATTAAAGTTATGCCAAATGTACAAAATTGCCCTTAATCTTGTGGTCTTAAACATGTCACGTGGAAAGCAAAAAGTAAAATGTTACCAAAAAAGGAAAGAGGTCATTCTTTTTTAAACTGACTAAAAAGGAAAGGAGGTCATTCTTTGTGAAACGGAGGGAGTATCATTTTCTAGGTAAAGTCCCATAAATATATATTATTAGAAATATCATTTTATATCAGTTGTCAGTGATAGGCCGCTTTAGGAAACAATTGGGCCTAGGAAAATATGGGCCTTGAGAGATGCCATTGAAAGTATGGGCCTTGAGAGATGTCATTGAAGCACCTTAAGTTTGTCATTTCGAGCCAAAGTAGGCTGGAATCCAACTCGGAGGCCACATGATAGGGTAGATATCGAATCATCATATCGAAATTGAATTCTTTTATCCCATAATGTTGGTACTTTCGGTATTTATTATGCATTTTTTGTAGAAAAATGATACCCGATACGATTTTTGGTATTCATAAAAAAATGTTGATTATCGTACTCAAATATGAAAAGTTTAATATTTTATACTATTAGAGAGATAAAGTTATTTCATCGTGAATCAATAAAAAATTGATGTTATAAAATATGATTTTATCATCGAACCAGTCCACTAGAAAATAGAAATATGTTGAAATAGTGGGAATAACCATTGAATATTATTTTTTTTCTCACTAATTCAATCAGAATATTTATGAAAATAGTTGTTCGACATAATTTTAAGTGGAAAAAAACAATTCTTTAATAACGTTAAGAGGTGTGATGTAGACGAATGTTTCTACGACTTGATAAAAAAAAACTCTAACGATTATTTTGTTTTAATGGAGGTATTAGTTTTGTGAGTCTATCAATATCAATTTATATGATGATTTTAATTGATGAAAAATACTAATTGTTCCAAATTAGTACTTTCTCTTCCCAATTTGAGGCACAATTCCTACATTGTAAAGTAATTAATCTTGATAAATTTAAATTAATCATATCGATAAAAAAAGAAAAAGAAAAAAAAAAGAGGAACCACTAGAACAAGTGACTCCTATTCCATAAATGCCTGTGTTTTCTTATTGGTCACTTTTTCTATGAGTAGCCATACAACACAAAATTAAAAAAAAAAAAAAACAAAAAAAAATTCTATACAACAAATTCTGTAGACAACTAAAACCCTGGGCGGCGACAATGATGAGAAATAACCAGAGATTAGATTTGATCATTTTTGGATCTCCTCCATAACTCGACTCGAGAAGACTTTGAAAGTCTGTTGTATAGATAACATTTTCATCGGTTCCTTCCTCTCAGATAAATCGATAGTTGATGCCGCCCTTGCAATCATGGTTACCGGCAGAGTACACCAACTTGCAAACGGAGCAAGTGGTATTGTTGCGAGTACGACGCTGACGATCGGAGGGTTGAGGAGGGTTTGTAGCAGTTGAAGGAAGGGTTAGAAACGATGTTGTCGCCGGAGGAAGGGTTAGAAGGTATTGTTGCGAGTACAACGTTGACGACCGGAGGGTTGAGGAGAGTCTTTAGCAGCTGAAGGGAGGGCGACGAATGAAGGGTCATAAACGATGTTGTCGCTGGAGGAAGGGTTAGAAATGATGTTGTCGACGGAGGAAGGGTCAGAAACGACGTTGTCATTCCCTTATTTCTTTCCAATCATCATGTCATAGCCCAATCGGGCCACTGTTACATAGGAACTCCAACCACTATTACTTAAGTTATCAATCGTCATGTCACAGTCCGATTTGGCCATCGTTACAATGGAACTCCGACCACTATTACTTAAGTTATCAGTCATTACGTCACAGTCCAATCCGACCACCATTGATGATGGGTGTTCTTATTGGTTTAATAATGGCAGTGGTGTTTCTGTTTTTGTTTATGTTATTAATTATTACTAGCTAAACTCTAAGGACTACTTAAAAAATTAAACAAAATAGTACTATCCTGTCTTTATTTTGATAATACAAAGTCTGAAATTATACAAATATGATATATATTGCTAAATATATATTTCGAATATTGTTGTCTTTAATGAAGAAAAATAATAATTCAATAATGTAGTCTTAGATGAGTTATGTTGTACCTAAAGGGGATGCCTTGTAAAATGAAACTTTGAAATTAACAACTTTGAAAATATAGAAGATTAGATTTTAAAAAGAAGTAAAACACGTAAATTGAAGCAGAGAAAGTTAAATGCACGACAGTTGTTCTTTTATTGCACCATGAATATCATATGGATTACAAAAAATAGATTTTAAGAAGAACTAAAATATGTAAATTGAAACCGAGGGAATTAAGTGCAAGTCAATTATTCTTTTATTGCATCTGAATATCATAAAAATGTAGCATTGCCTTACAAAACCCCCATTCCCAATTCTTAACGGAGACCCTCTCCTTTCCTTCCCGAAAACGAAACATGTCTAGTCCCACTCCGATCACGAGTGACCCTTCCTCCGTCTCGGTTGTTTCTTCTACGGAGCTTGCTACAGACCCCGTCGACAACGTCATTTCTACTACGGTCATGAATTTACTAAGCTAAAATTTGTACTATCTGCAAACATTACACTTTTGAGTAAGAGAGAATCGATGAGTTCGTTGTAAAACGTAACACCAGCAAAATTTACTTTACCAAACCTTCCTCCTATCATAATTCAAGACAACCAAGACTTGTAAAACGTAAACATAATAAGTAATCCGATTAACACAACAATCAAGGGAACAAAATACAAACAAAAGCATAACGAAAAGTACTAGGAAAGACTCTGCTCTACGAGATAGAGAAATGATACAAATTCAAGCCAATAGAGTGCATTAACTCAACATCTTCCTGCAATACTTCATAGAATCAGAAAGTAAAGTTAATTTCTTTTAAGAGAACTAGTCAAAATCCAAATATTCTACCTGAAATCGATGGTAATGATCATCTGCTATATCTCCAGTATCTCCATTATTTATCCTTCCTGAAGCCATTTAAAAAGCGAAAATCTTTCTCAGTGTATGCATAAAACAACTAAATCAAATAGACTTTAGAAAAAAGATAACTAAGAAATGAACCTTGGCTAAATTCAACATAAAAACTAGCTCTAAATCCCCAACAAATGTGGCATCTAACACCCCTGCATGTCCAAGACTAGACATCTAGAGGGTCGACAATATAACATGGGCGCCCAAATCAAGAGCGGAGCCAGTAAGGCTACATTGTTTATACATGGTTAAAATTATTAGGTATACATAGTAAATGTTGAACTCCTTTGACTTCTTCGTATGTTTACTTTTTCATATAATTTTGAACCCCTTAGTAAAAATCTTGGCTCTATCATTGCCGTTGTGTTGGGGTCCAACATCCGATAAACTATGAAATTGGGATGAACCCAGTTGAAAAACATAAAACCATTTTGTTTCCATATGGGTACGAGAAACAGTTGGGGGTAATGAAGTAAGTGAAGTGCTTGGTTTTACGAGTTATTCCAACCACTACCAAATGGATGTGATTCCAAGAGTCGAAAATGAACACCACACAAAAAAAGTCAAAGACTAGGCTATCTATGTGCTAGTGACGTTAACTCAAGGAAGATTCAAGAAGCTAAAAGCCATTTGACTGCAGGACAACCATATACGATAGGAATGACAAGGCAAAACTTTTAACTCTAGTATTACAAAAAAATAACATTCGGCCTAACTCAATCCAACAGCTAGTTTACGAGGTGAGTATTGTCTAAAATCATAAAAAAAATACTCATTTAAAAACAATACGAAAAGTTGTATTTACCTTTAGTATGACTAAAAACATCCCAATTACTCAACCCTTTTCCATCTTCAAGAAATCCCCCTTCAATCTGGGGAAAAAAAAAGAATCAAATAATATCCAAAAAATGAAAATAATTTTAGTGAAAAAGTGATAAATAAAATAGAAGAAAATACTTGATAAGCTGTAGTAGTAGTTCCAAATAAAAATCCATCTGGAAATTCTGATTTCTTCACATTTTTCTATTCCTCAAATGAATTTACAAATACAAATAGTAGTAAACACATAAAAAATAAGCAACTGAAATAATTAGTACTGCTAATCTTCATTTGGGGTTTAAAAAATTAAACCAAAATAATTAGCAACTATTTTTGTTGAGAACTAAATCCACTAAATATCAACTATTTATGTGAATTGCTCTAAAAGGAAATATCAATAATTTGAAGGTAGATGGAGTTAGTGAATTTTTTGTACCAAAAATGGCCTTTCTACTTACAATAGGAGACGAGGAGAATATTAAATGAAAAAACGTAACATCTACTACCATATAATCCAATTCTTGATTAAATTTTTATTCATATTTTTAAAAGTCCTGCAAATTTAGCTTTTAAAAAATTATCCATCCGACAAACGTTACATTATTCTAACATTTCTAATGACTGCAAAATAAACTATATAATTGTTATGTATTGTTTCATAATATATTGAATTGTATTATAATATATTGTTTTAATGAATAAAATATTTAGAAAGATTATATCGTTCTCCGTCGTTACATAATCTCACACATCCATATATTTTATTTAAATTAATAATATAATACAACAAATAGCAACGGTCTAATTAAATTATGATCTAGAAAGTTGATGTTAAAAATATATATATAAATAAAAAAGGTCATCAAGGAATAGGTATTGATGAATATAAAATCAGGGGTTGATGAGTGAGCCATCAGTAAAATAAAGGGAAAAGGGTCAAAAATACCCCTTAACTTTGTATTATTGGTTGACTTTATCCTTACCGTTAAAATGAAGTTAGCTTTACCCCTACCGTTATTAATTTCACCATATGTACCCCTCATTCGACGGAAAACCCCAAATTGACTCAAATTAACTCGAATTTAAAAAAAGATCTATTCCCTATTTTAAACCCAATGCCCCGACCCCTATAATGTATAACCCGGTATCATCTTACAGTACTTTTAGGTAGAATATTTATATTTTGATTGTTGAATTGAGTGTTTATATCTTTAACAAAACAATTTGTGTTGATTAAACTCAAAAACTCTTGTTCAACTCAAAATATTTGTAGTGGACTTTAAATAATAAATAATGTATCAGTGGAAATACAATGATATATACACGACATACAAAAATATATTTGTAATTTGTATGTTTTTCTATATGTCTCGATTTGGTAGATTGTACACATTTTGTGAAAAAACTTTTGTTATTTCCTAAAGAAAATTGCTAAATTGATTAATTTCACCCCTAATTTTATATCATTTTCTAGGTAAAGTCCCATAAATATATCATCTTATAATAAATATCATTGTATATCAATTGCCATTGATGGACCTCTTTAGGAAATAATTGGGCCTGGGATAGTATGGGCCTTGAAAGATTCCATTGATGTACCTTTAGTTTGTTTTTCCAAGCCCAAGTAGGCTAGAGTCCAACTCGGAGGCTACCTGCTACGGTAGATATCAAATTATTATATTGAAATCCAATTTTTCTACATCATAATTTTAATACTGTCATATTTATTATGCATTTTTTTGAAAAAAATGATACCCGATACGATATTTGGTATTCATAAAAAAAAATGTTGAATATCATACTCAAATGTATAATTGCATATAATTTGTATATATCATTATAATACCAATAAATTTATAAATTAGTATTGGTACAAAACTAATTGTTTAGTCGTTGGAACTATCACTATTCTATCTTTATTGAAATGTTATTGTTTGTGTAATTAATTAACGACGAAAATTGTTTGTATTTTATTTTGAATATTTTTTTTATATATTTATAGTGTATATATATATATATATATTTACTCTTATCATATATTTTAAGACTTCTTAATTATTAATTTTCCTAATATATCTTACATTTTTTTTTTCTTGTTATATACTTTAGGACTTCTTAATTCTTAAAATATTTTTTTACTATATATTTAGGACTTTTAATTATTAATTCTCCTAATATTTATTATCATATATTTTTTATTGCCATATATTTATCATATAAAAATAAATTATAACAAGTGAAATTGAAAAACCAAAGTACCTAACCCATAAATATTATTTTATATAATAAAGTTTGACTATATATAACATGAAAAAAAAAATTGATGAGAAAGTTATATCCTTCCAAGCTACAATTCCAAATCTTGGATTTACCCAAAGTGCACATATATTGCATGATAACTTATTTTCGTTAATTCTCCGATTTTCATGGGAATACATCCACTAAATCTCAATATAATAATTCTCCTTGTGGTTTTATTGGTCATATTTTAGTTGACGAGAGTTAAATAATATAAATTTTGATCAATATTTTATAATTTTGATCAATATTCTCCCTATGTAATGTAATATTATGTTTATTATTAT